ATTAGAAGCAAAAACAATGAGTCTTTCTGCAAGGAACAATGTATTCTAAAATGAAATGGAGATCTTTTTTAAAGGTTAAAAACTCATTCAATCTTATGTCTTACAGGGCTTATACTGAGTTCAATATTGTATAACTGTATTAGCTGAACTGTGAACTTAGAAACTTACAGCCACTTGTGAAAGAGATGTCCTCTTGCTCTGGAGTTTGTTACTGAATATGTTACAGCTGTAGTGAAATGCTTCTAATCATGTGGTTATTAAATTCTTTTTAATTACTTCTTGTTAAATAGTAGAGGTGATAAACATTACCAATGAAATCTACCTGATGACTTTATATCCATACTCAGGTACTAAGGATCCGAGTGTAACTGACTGTGACTAGCAATAATCAGATACATAGAGATTAAAGACACATGTGGAAACACCTATGTGTTAGTAGTATTAAAAATGCAGGAAACAGCATATCTTACATACAAATGGCAATCTTCTTTAAGGGTAAAAACACACAGAGATACATGCCTGTCATCCTAGCACTTGGGAGGTGGAGGAAAGAGGACCAGAAGTTCAAAGCCATCCTCAGCTATATAATGAGTTCAAGGCCACCCTGGGCTAAAAATTTAAAAAAATTAAAAATAAATAAATAAAATAAATTTTTAATTAAAAATGTATCTCTGATTATCAAAAAGTGATGGGCAATAAAATCCCTATCAATCAAAATAAATAAATAAATAATAAATAAATATTTTTAAAAATTTAGCCCCAAACACAAGAAAATTGAAACATTACATTAAAAGAACAATTAATTATATAATTGCAGATTTCTCTTTTTCTTTTTCTTTTTCCTCCCCTCCCTCCCTTCTTCTCCCCTTCCTTTCTTCTATTTTCAAAACAGCGTCATGTAACCCTGGCTGGTCTGGAACGTGCTATGTAGACTAAGATGGCTTCAAACATTCAGCAATCCTCTTGCCTATGCCTCCCACATAGTGGGAATACAGGTATGCACCATGCCAGACTTGACACAGATATTTTAACAGGAAATACCAAGGGCAATACACAGTAGAAAACAGCCTTTAAAACTAAAGAAAGGCTATTCTTTCAGGGATCATTTCTGTAGTTCCTTTCTAGAGAAGTTTCTCTAACTATGTAGAGTACCAGAAATCAGAGACATAGCATTCTCTCCTGAGCATGAAAGCTGGCTGTTGGTGTTGCTTTGCTGCAACTGCCATTTACCATTGATGACTGTTCTCTCTTTCCAGAGAGTAGTGGGAGAGGATGCAGCCTGAGTGGTTTAAAAAAAACTCTAAAAGAGGGCTGTAGTGATGGCTCAGTGGTTAAGAACACTGGCTGCTCTTCCCGAGTACCTGGATTTGATTCCCAGCACCTAAATGGCAGCTAACAACCAAGGGAAACTTCAGTTCCTCGGGATCCAATGCCATCTTCTGGCTTTGCATGAAACAGGTACATTTATATATATGCAGGCAAAACACTCATACACATAAAATAAAAAATAAATAAATAACTTTAAAACTCTGAAGAAAATAACTGTCAACTTAATAATACATATCGACTGAAAATTAAGGTGAAAGAAGATGCTATCGGGTGAAGGAAAACTGAGAATATGTTGCTAGTGCACTTAGTTTACAAGAAATGCTAATGGAAGTTTGGTAGGCTGCAGGTTTATGATATGAAAACAAATTCTTGAAATTCTAGGATGAAGGAAAAGCAACATATATGGTGAATATTTGGGTGAATATAATAACTTACAGTCTCAACGTTATTTTAATTCTTTTTGCATTTTAAAAATTGTGTGTGTGTGTGTGTGTGTGTGTGTGTGTGTGTGTACACGCTCCATGGCACAAATATAGAGGTCAGAACTTAAAAGAGTCAGTTCTCTCCTCCCACTGTATGGCTTCCAAGGATCGAAATCAGATCACCAGGTTTGCTGACAAGAGCCTTTATCCACTGAGTCATCTTGCCTGCCAAAGACTTTAATAAAATTATCCCTAAGAATGATAATGCTATGTAGGTAATTTTCAACAAATGTAGTGTAATATATAAGGGAACTGTTATATAAACTGAGGAAAGTGAAGAAAACCATTTGGTTTTAAGGCTGATGGACAAAAGTTGCTAGAAAGAAACTGCACCTTCAAACTGAACCTTCTGCAAGGCTGATTAACTGATTAGAACTCCACTGATTATGGAGAGTTTGAATTCTTTCGAGTCCAGAGCCAAATTAACTTGGAGCATCTTTAGCCCACTTAATAGTCATTTATTGTCCTCCTCTGTGCATGACTCAACATCCTTTGTGGCTATTAGGTAAATCATTTGGAATAAAAATAGAGCACTAGTTCTCCCTTGGAATGAATTAGCAGGAGACTACCAGCTTCCACCAACCCAAAAGCTAAGAGTATCATCAGATAGCATCTAAGTCCTATAACAGTTTTCGCCACTTTGCTATAACCCAGATCTCTGGTTGTTTCCACCAAAGTATTTGAAAAGGTGTCTTGATTTATGGCTTTCTTTGTTTTGATACTACAAAAACATGAAACTGTTACCGCATTGGAACATGGAATTAGAGGGTGACATATATCTGTGTTTTCAGGCCATAGTCATTCATATTTGGCTCCATATAAACTATCCTCTATCTCTTTTGAGGTGGGAGTCATGTTTTTGCATCAATAGGTTCTTACACTTTCCTTAAAATGTCAAACATTAATTCATATATTTGGAAATATTAAATGTGTGTATCATGATCCCTAGATAAACCATCATAAATGTACTATAAAGAGCTATGGCTAAGGGTAGGCATGGTGGCATACACTTTTAATCCCAGTACTCAGGAGGCAGAAGCAGAAACAGGGATATCTCTGTGAGTTAGAGGCCAGCCTGGTCTACATAGTGAATTCCAGTCCAGCTAGGGATACATAGTGAGACCCTGTCTGAAAAAAAAATTTTTTAAATGAATATGACTAAAATAGTAATTGGTAAATTAAAACAGAATAGTAAAAACAGTCAAATAACACAAAATATTCAAGAAAGAGGGAACATGGAGTCTAGACCAAATGCAGAGGGCCAAAAGAAAGCTAATAAAAACATGGTCCTATCCATAGCTCAACTTTTAATTGAGTCATTTGCTTTTTTGAGTCTTTGTTTTTTTGAGTTCTTTATGTATTCTGAATATTAATCCCCTGTCAAATGTGTAGCTGATGAAGATTTTAAAAGATGGGCTATGGATTTGAACAGAGAATTCTCAAAAGAAGAAATAAAACTGGCTATGAAACACCTTAAAAACTGTCCCGCATTCTTAGTAATTAGGGAAATGCAAATCAAAACCATTTTAAGATTTCATCTTACCCCAGTCAAAATGGCTAAGATAAAGAGAAAAAATGATACCAAATTCTGGTAAGGATGTAGGAAAGGAGAACACTCATTAACTGTCAGTGGGATTGCAAACTCATGCAACCACTATAGAAAGCAGTATGGAGAACTCGTAAAATACTAAAAATGAAACTACCATATGATTCTATTATACCAGTCCTTGGCATATACCCAAAGGACTGGTCCTAGTGCAGAGATACTTGTACATCTATGTTTGTTGCTGTTTTTCTCACAATAGCTGAGAAATGGAAAAAACCTAAGTGTCCCTCAATTGACAAGTGGATAATGAAAATGTGGTACATTTACAAAATGGAGTTTTACTCAGCAGTAAAGGAAGATGAAACCATGAAATTTGCAGGTAAATGGATGGAACTAGAAACTGCTATAGTAAGTAAAGTAACACAGACTCAGAAAAACAAAAGACACATGTTCTCCCTCATTTGTGGATCTTAGTACAAAATTCTTACATGTGAGCACATGTCCTGATATAACTACAGGAGACAAGGAAATGGAAAGAAACCAGGAAAATAAAGGGAAAGAAGGAGCCTGAGAGAGAGGGATAGTAGAGGCAGGTGTTACCAAGGGGGGAATGGGTAAAATGGGAGGATTTAACTGGGGGGTGGTGGAGTGTTTTACAATGAACCATGTGGGTAAAGGGGAAGAAGGTGCTCATGGAGGATGGGGTTCAGAGGAGACAGGTATTATCCAGGGAAAATTGGGGTACTTTAACTGGGGAGGAAGGAGGCAGGGTTAGACAGAGAAAGAGAGGAAAGCTAAATAATGCTTAGCTGATCAGAAAAATATACATACAACATATATACATGAGGGCATGTGTTTAGCTGAAGGCTATATAACAAGAAATGGTGCCAGACAGAAGAAACTTCCCTTTGAGTGGTTGGTCAGGTAGTCCAATAAACTCCCAAAATTACACAGGCTATTGCCATAGCCCTTCATTACCTCCCAGAACTTGAAGGCAAGACCCTAATGCTGAAGACAGGACATACTTCAAACACAGGACTTGGAGCAATCGAGCTGGAGCTGACCTGGAAGTCTCCTCCCTGAATACTAGCTCTCATAGCTTTAGAGGACACTGTGCAAATTACTAAGAGAGAAACTTAATTAATGGTCCAACCCAAGCCTTAAAGTCTAGTAACCACAACAATGACTGACACAGCAAACTATATTGGTGAAGTAATATCACTTTTATCTTGTGAGTAATCAACAGCTACCTAACTGGACATAAATCCCAGTCAATAGGAGGGAACTCATGCATGGCGCTATAACAATAGCCAAATACACATGGCTGAAGAGGTTAATCTTAGAGAAAACCCAAAGTCTACACATCCTTAGACAAGCCTTTGATTACTTCCCAGAACTTGAAGGTAAGACCCTGTTGGTGAAGACAGGACATACTTCAGACACAGAACTTGGAGCAATGGAGCTAGAACTGACCTGGAAGCCTTCTTCCTGAAGACTAGCTCTCTAGAAGGTACTATACAAACTGCTAAGGAAGAAAATCAAGCAATATTTCAGCGCAGCTGTAAAGCCCAATAGCCACAATGACTGGTAGAGCAAACTATCCCTATTGGTGTCATAGTGCCACTTTTATCTAGGTGGTAATCAATAACTATCTAATTGGACTTATAGCCCTCTCAATGGGAGGGAACTCAAGGGTGGCACTGTAAATATAGCCAAATACACATGACTGGTGAGGTCATAAATCCCACAGAAAACCCTATCTCTCTCACATCCTTAGACAAATATAATTTCTTACTATATGCTAAATATGGATCCTTATATTTACAGACAACTATGCCAGTCACCGCTAATCAAAGAAACTTCTTTTCAACAGATGGAGACTTTTAAAGAGTTCCACAACTGATTATACACAGAGAATAAGTGTCTGAGAAATGCCAAACCCTAAGTGACACAGCTACAATGGCACCTCTATACCTAAGGCTCACAGAACATAGTGGAACAAGGGGTCAAGAGAATACTAATGCATCTCTCAACTCTAATCAGCAAAGCTTCCTCATGCACCAGAGTGCAATGAACACAAAAGGCCACAACTTGGCAAAGTGTATAGAAAAAGAGACTGCAGAGTGTGGGTTCCAGGACAGGATTCCTACGTTAAACTTCACCCACCCAAGACTCAGGGACCATTGCAGAAGAAAGATTGTAAGAACCAGGGAAGATTACAGGCTCCTGGGTCCTTGTTCATGTGAACTCACAGCAATGGTGACAGCATGTAAAAGACCTATGAAATTCAATGAGACAAAAACCAACATAGTACCAGGGAAATGGGCAGAAGGCCACAACTTTGGAAAGGAACTATTGGCAGCTGATCACTGTCTATATAAATGAAAAGAAAGTGGGAATGACCATACTAAAACCAGACTAGCACCTAGATATGGGGGAGAACATGTCAGTTGGAATAAGGAGGATTTCTGTATAATAAAAGGATCCATTTACAGAAAAAGCAACCTTAAATGTGCTCATATCAAAACCCATGAAGCAAACCTGATGGAAAACCAAAGTAGTTAAGTCTTCAGTTCCACTTTGATATTTCAATACTCCTCTCAGTAACTCAAACACAAATGTCTTCAAGCATATGAAAAAGCCTGACCAAAACTACCAAGCACTTGATCTGACATTTATAAAATACTATACAACAACAGCAGAATAACACTTCACACATCTGATGAGAGATTTCACAGAAACATTCAGGAATGACTAATAAAGCCATGAAGACTTGCCTGAAGTCATTAGTCATAGAAGAAATACTTAAAGAAAAAGAGGGAAGAAATTAACTAAAAAGTACATGAAGAAATTTGAAGGGTGATGGAACTATATTTCATAGTAATTGTGACATTGTGGCTCAGAAATTATAGAATTGAACAATAAAAAGAA